TGGTGGGTAAATGTGAATAATAGTCGTATTAACTGGTCTTCCTTGAGGGTTCGTAGGTTGCCAACGGTGGTGCAATGGTTAAGCGCTTGGCTGCTAATTGAAGGGTTGACGATTTGAACCCACCAGTGTCTCCAAGGGAGAAAAGACCTGGTGATCTGCTCCCATAAAGATTACAGCCTAGGAAACCCTGTGGGGCAGTTCTGCTGTCCCCTACGTGGTCACTGTAAGTTGGAATTGACCCAGTGACACACAGCAACAACAACAGGTTGCCAATGGAAGTCTTTGCAAAGCCAGACATCTACGGGTGAAGCCAAGTGCAGAAGCTTGTAGTTCAGAGTGTGGGCTCCACCCCTAATACATGCTTTGTAGTTTCTTCTCTCTGCCCTTGGTTACTTAGTTTTCCCCAAGTAGTGGTGACTTACTCCAAGGTATTTAAGGAGGAGGAGTAAAGGTGCCCTGGTGATGCAGTGGTTAAGCGCTCAGTCGCTAGCCTAAAGGTTGGCAGTTTGAATTCACCCAGCAGCTCTGGGGGACAAGTTTGGCGATCTGTTCATGTAAAGATTACAGCCAAGAAAACTCTATAGGGCAGTTCTACTTTATCACATGGGGTCGCTATAAGTCGGAGTCTACCCAACAACAACAGCTAAATGTGCTTCAAATGTGGTGGACCAGAAGCATCAGCAGTAACCTGGGAGCTTGTTGGAAATGCAGAGTCTCAGGCCCCCCACTGCAGACCTGCTGATTAGAATCTTCATTTTAACAAGTTCCTCAGGGATGCACAGGTACATTAAAGTTGGAGAAGTACTGCACCAAGAGATTGGTAAGAATAGAGCTAGATCTCATTGAGAATTCTCTATCAAATGAATTGAGAGAATAATGTGAAAAAGACTGTGGACAGATTAAACAGCAGCTTAAAAAAAAACCCAACAAAACAAAAACAAGGATAAGCTTCACCAAACCTCTTAGAGGATGTAGATCAGAAATAGTAAACTGATTTTAACTAATGTGCCAACTCTAATCTGCTGGTAAACCAAAAAAACCAAACCCACTGCCGTTGAGTTGATTCTGACTCATGGCAACTCCGTTAGTTACAGAGTAGAACTGCTCCATAGGGGTTTCTTGGCTGAAATCTTTACAGAAGCAGATTGCCAAGCCTTTCTTCTGTGGTGATGCTGGGTGGGTTTATACTGTCAACCTTTAGTTGAGCACAAACTTTACGCCACCCAGGGACTGGTAAACCAAAAACAAAACCTGTTGCCGTCAAGTTGATTCCAGCTCATAGCGACTGTCTAGGACAGAGTAGAACTGCCCCATAGAGTTTCCAAGGAGTGGCTGGTGGATTTGAACTGCCAACCTTTTGGTTAGCAGCTGAGCTGTTAACCACTGTGCCACCAGGGCTCCCAGGGCCCGGTAGTGGCTGCCAAAAACACTGTATTGAGAAGAATTCCGAGACAGAGATTAACAGAGATGTCTTCCATGGGCTTGGTCAATTGAGTGAAATGTACTTGCTGTCTCTGGTTTTGAAGATTGTTGAATCATTGCATACTCTTGCTTCTCCCCCCACTCCTTGCCCCTGCGTTAGCCTTCATGTAGTTTAGTACAACCACTTCTTGCTTCCCCAGACATCCTCTGCCATAACCCGTTGCCATCGACTGGATTCCGACTCATAGCAACCCTACAGGACAGAGTAGAACTGCCCCATAGGGTTTCCAAGGAGCGGCTGGTGGATTTGAACTACTGACCTTTCGGTTAGCAGCCGAGCTCTTAACCACTGCGCTACCAGGGCTCCTCCTCTATTGTAGTAGCTAATAAATATAGGTGAAAATCTTACTGTTTTATTAACAAAATCAGCCATGTTGCCTAGAAACACACCCTCCCTCCTTTAGTGTTTGCTTGAAGTTTTCCCTAACATTGTTATATTACTGTGTAAGTGAGTGAGATTTAATCCCTCCTTACCAATTACCTAGCTCTCTCATCTTGGGCAGATTGTTTAACCTTGCTGCTTCTTAGCTTTCTCATCTGAAAAAAAATGAAAATGTTGTATGTGATCTCTAAGGTCTCTTTGAGCTCTTAAATTCTGTGGATTTATGTTTCCTTTTGCCATCTGAAAAGAAGAATAGATCTATAGGATTCTACTCATTTTAAATGTGCATACCGTATAAGAAATACAGGACTTTTTATTGATGGTTTTACTCCATGATCTTTTTTTTGTGCATGTCTCTGATCTGAAGCTTTTTGGTCTGGTTAGAGGAGAAAGAGAACTTTAACGATCACCTGCCTTTGATCTTTCCCCATTCCAGCATCACCCTCCCTTCTCTGCAGGAGGAACCTTTCCAAACCACTGTTTTCACTGGGCTCTTTCTTGTATAAAAACTTGTCTAGACTCCGGAGACCATAGTCTAGACTTTCCTTCCTGGCATTCAAGGCCTGTGAAATCTGGCTGACCCTAAGTATGTCATTTTAGTTTCCTCTGTTTTCCAGTTTGGACGTTTCCCCCATCAGGTCAGTGTCTGACCCACTATACCTGTAACACCCATTTCCTGACGTAATTTCCGTGGAGCATTTTGAGATTGTTTTCAGTCTCACTTCCTTCTGAGACCACAGTATATCACACACCAACCAGTGACTGACTTCTGTTGTCCTGCATTTTTTAAAGACAATGTTTTATTGTTAACTTTTCATATATTTGGCTTATCTCCTCAAATCGATAATAAACTTTTTGAGGCTAGGGACTGTGTCTTTTGATGGCTTATATCCTTTTCCGTAGCATGCACACAGTGGGTGCACAGTAATTATTTGTAGGAGTTACTGTAACAGATTTTGTAGTTTGTTTTCTTTGCTGGTGAAATTGCTAGAGTGAGCTGATCCCTTTTTTTTGAAACTGAAAGATTCAATGATATCAGTGAATTTGAAGGGTAACTTTTGGCCTGGAATAAATAAAGTAGGAGGTAGAGATATTGGAGGCATTTGGTTTTATTTTCAAAGATAAATATAATGGATTATATTTCATTTGAAGGATTCTTTTTCCCCTATAACTTTTCGCCGGCATTCCTTCTGCCAGATTCTTGATTTGGGGTAGAGAAAGGCGCGTTTTCAGTTATCAGCATTTGTTATGTAATAGAAAGACAACCAGCATTAGAGTGGGGAGCTCTAGTCAGGGACCTTTTACTGTCTCTTCCTGACAGCAAACACACACCCAGCCATTCTGAATACTCTTTATTCATCTGTAAAATGGAGGTCATAATAACTTCCTGTAAATACCACACTCTGGCTGGGGGGAAATGAGATAACGTGAATTAATCAATTGGAAGATACTATTTGTATTATTTATCTGTTTACCTGTGTAACATTAAAATACCTTCGTTTGTATTGACTTAAGAATTCTCCTTAGACTTTCAGCTTTTAAGGAGGCAGTGATGTCTGTATCTGTTTTATATCTAGCACAGCACCTCATGAAGTGAGATGTTTAATAGTTTTTTTTTTGTTAACTTACACTGAAAGTCTAAATCAAGTCTTAAAAAATTATTATTGTCTAGTCCAGCTGGCACTGTCACCAACTTTCTCAAGTTAAGTGTCTTTAAAAAATAAAAAATCTTAATACTGTTTATCAGATGTCACCTCTTCAGGCGCATTGAAGTTGGTATTTGCTTGCTCAACCTAAAAACAAACAAACAAAAAAATAGTCATTCGAATTGCTGCATTTAGAAAATTTTACAGGTGGTGGTCTCCCCAGGGTAAATGATACCTCATATATCTAACCCCTTGCTTGCTTCCTCTCTCCGTTCCCTGTTTCATTTGTCCCCCTTCCTTCCACCTAACTGCACGCTAGCAGCATGCGAGGCTGTGTGAGGGTAGAGATGAGGGAGACACATGTCCTGTCCTCAGGGGGCTCCCTGCCTAGTGGTGTCGGTCTGCAGGAAGACTAGACGTATCAACAAAATGGTATCTCAGCAACTGTTAACCATAGTGTTTGATTAATCAGGACATTTTTATCTTTCACTCTTTTGGGGAAAAACTTTCCTATATATTTTAATATATAGTCTAATAGATTTTTGACAACAAAAACTCTGTTTTAAGAATACAATCGAGTTTTGTGTCTCCTGTCATAGTCTGAAGCATCATCATTTAATCTAAGGCTGAATCTGGCCCTACTCGCTAGTCGTAAAGGCCCAATGGAGGTGTCCATAGAGGTCAACTAGTTTAATGTCTTGTTCTACTGATAGAGAAAAACTAAGATCAATGGATGGGAAGGTAGGATTATTCTTTTATTGTGTAGGTGCTGAAGTATCCCTTTCTGTAGTCATTGATATTTTTTGGTCTTTTTGGATCTAACAGACTAAATTTTTCATATCACAGATGTTCAAATATTTTTCTTCTGTAAATCATCTCATTTCTAGGCTTGAGCAACTTCAGGTCTGTTAATTATTCATCATACGATGGGGTTTCCAAATTTTTACCATAATTGGTAATTCTTTGGTTGGACTTGAGTCTGCCAATCCCTCTTAAAACATCTAGTGTGCACTTTCAAAGTAACATGAAAGGATTTTAATTCCACGATGAGGGAGAATGGCTGTGTCCCTCCCACCAAGCTCACCCACTGTTACCTTGTTTTCCAGTTCTTGCCATTCTCCGTGACTCTGAGCTGTCTGGGCTGAATATAAGGCCGCGATGGATTGTTGGTCCAGCTCTCCATTTGTTTCAAAGTTTCATTATAGCTGCACTGTTCTGAATTGAATTATTGCTCTAAAAGCTATATTAGCTCATTCATTTTTTTTTTAAATTTTGTTTTCAATGTTAGGATTTATTTACCTGTGAATTTTTTCTTTTTGATTTTATTTTTTTATTATATATTATAGACAAACAGAAACTTCCTCCTTTCATCTTTCCACTCCCTGATTTATGATAAATTTAGTTTCCTTTGCCCTGGAATTTGCTTCAGCAGGCAGTCTTCCTTCAAGTACCTACCTGATTGATGTGTAATCTTTGATATCTTCCATTAGCCTCCAGGATCACTAAGTTCAAGGCCCCCTTGGAACCTAAGGAGCCCTGCCGAGGAGCTGAAGGCCTTCAGAGTCCTTGGGGTGATTGACAAGGTAATTCTTCAGTGTCTCTTCAAGGGTTCAGTCATAAATCGACTGCGTGCTGACATTCTGTCTTTGAAGCTTTGGATCTTAAGCATATGAAACAAAAGGAGAAAATGACTCAAATGCACCTGCACTTTAAAATAACAAAAGCAGAAGAGAAAAGGCTTTTATCTAAGCAATTCATGTAAGGTCATGCAAAATATACTCGAGCTAAAGGAGAAGGTGCGTATTTGTTGGCGTTCAGTGAGGGGCTTGGTTTTCAAAACGTGGCATGGCAGGGTAAAGATGTACTTTGTGTTAAACTCGTGAATCAGTCGTTGTTCCGTGTTAACTGGTAGAGTCAATTTAGTGGTCAGAAAGGAAAGTGATATTCTCCTAATAACTAGCTCTTACTGAGTACCTGGTGGCTCAGTGGTTAAGAGCTTGGCTGCTCACAAAAAGGTCCACAGTTCGAATCCCACCAGCTGCTCCTTGGAAACCCTATGAGGCAGTTCTCCTCTGTCCTGTAGGGTCGCTATGAGTCAGAATCGACTCGATGTCAATGGGTTTGGTTTTGGTTTACTGAGCACCTACTGTGTGTCAGATCCTCTATTAGGCATGTGGTGGAATACATCTTACTTCTTCCCAAAACCAAAAAAACCAAACCCACTGCCTTTGCACCTTGGTAGAGAAAGTGATAGTTACAACAGATTAGGTAACTTGCCCAGAAGTCACATGACTAATTCAGGGTTATTGTTGGGTGCTGTCGAGTCGATTTTGACTCGTAGTGATCCCTTTGACCCCATGTGACAGAGTAGGACTGCCCCGTAGGGTTTCTAGACTATGATCTTCACAGGGGCAGATTACCAGGTCTTTTCTCCCACGGAGCAGCTGGTTGTGTTCGAACCTCCAACCTTTTGGTTTTAGTAGCCAAGCGCTTAACCATTGCGCCACCAGGGCTCCTGGAATTTATAGCTAGATCTTTTTGGCTCCAAAAGCTGTGCTTTTTCCAATATACTACAATCCTCCCTCCCTGCCCCTCCCCTACACGTTTACACTTGGAATAACAATAACAATAACAATAACAAAGATACCGGCATTGAATACCCCCAAATCTATGGCATGCCAAATATGCCAAATATTAGTAGTATTGGGTCTATCAGATAGTTTACCAGGGTAATTTAAGAACTATAGCCAAAAAGTCATATTTTAAGTACTGTATTTTACTGTATTTGATCAACCACCACTGTACCATTCAGAGTAAAAGAAAGCACCTTATTTAATATTAAGGTATAAATTAATTTAAATATTTTGTACCATTAGTCATCTTTTATGAAGCACCAGGTGTTCCTTTGTAACTTAATGTTCACTGAGTACTTTTTGTGTAGTAAAGTGTGCATGTGATCCCATGTATAAATTGAACAATGTGCAGCGTACCTCACACAAATCAGACAGTAACCAACAGCTCGAGGCACTCTAAAGGGGCCTTAGGTTGGACCTCACATGGAGCTATCGATGTCGTTAAGTTCTTACAAGCATCTTCCCCCACCCAAATAAATTCATGTGACTGAAATTTGAACCTAAAGAATTCTAAAGAGCAGAAGGACATTGTTTTTAGAGCCTAAGGAGTTCCCTTAACCCGGTTCTCTCTAGCTTTCCCAGTTTGGAGAATATTCTCTTTGAGAATGGACGGAAGCAAAATAGAAACTGAACAGCTCCTAGGTTCTTAGATTTCTGTGCGGGCAGGTATGCCTTCTTGATGTACAGTGTCTGCCTCTTCTCTCTGATCTGGGTTTTTGGTTTTTATTTTTTTGACAAAATGTGATCATTCATTGCTATGCTCTAATCATGAGTAAGTGACCTCAATGTTCTGAGTCTCAAAGGTTTTCACGAACAAGGGGCTTCTGACAGTAGGAGGAATTCCTAAATTGTAGGCTGAGGTATAATTCATTACTGTCTACTCTGTGAACCTAGAAGTGTGTGGTGTTTAGAAGGTGACATTTAACTTTTCTAAGTAGAGATGAGGAAATATGTATTGTGAGAATTAATAAGCTTTACAGAAAATCTTTTAAAATTTGTAACAATCTACATTGCAAAAAAATGAATTGGTGGATTTTTCAAAAATTGAATTTTTTTTAAGGTAAGTTCCTTCTCATTATACTAAGGAATATTTAAAATTTGGGTTTTAGAAACTTGAAGTTTGGAAGAGAAGTATTGAATAAATTCAAAAGGCTGGAAAATACATGGTACATTAATCTAGCTCCAGCAAGACTGTTTCTCTGATTCCGTCCTCAGCGTTTGTTCTTTAAGAGTTGAGTGTTATCACCTGTTGGATCAGGAAAATATTCCCTAGGAATAGAGTTTTTACAAACTTTTATATAGAAAATAAAGTAGATTTGTTCACTCGTGTCTAGAATGTGAGCTCCGTGAGAAGGGGACTGTGTCTTTCTTGTTTACCGCTGTATCCTCAGCACCGAGGATCATGCAGGCACATGATGGGCGTTCAGCAAATGTTTGTTGAATTCAAACTTGAGTAGTTTTAAAACTAGAGTAGATCACACAGAGAGTGACACCTACTGGGGTAGTGTTAGACTGCTACCTACCACCACTTTGCAGGGTGGCTGTTGGGAAGGTCTTTACCGCTGTTGTTGTAGGTGCAGTCAAGTTGATTTTCGACTCAGAGCGACCCAGTATGACAGAGTAGAACTGCCCCATAGGGTTTCCCAGCTGTAATCTTTACAGGAGCAGGTCTTTTCTCCTGCGGAGCCACTGGGTAGACTTGAACTGCCAACTTTCAGTTGGCAGCCGAGTGCTTAACCATTGTGCCACCAGGGCTTCTTGTCTTTACCCATAGGGATACTAATTCCATAACTGTGTCTTGGTCGACTGTTCAAAGGGAGATAAATGACCTTCTGTTCTTTAATTGCTGTTATAAAATCCTTTGCTAACCAGATACGCAACAAGAACTTTAAGAGTTGGGGCTCTCGGAGTACAGATGAGCTGGTGTGCATTCAGAAGCAAGCATGATTTAAGGCTAATGAAGATCCTCAAAATCATGTCATATGAATAACCGCTAAAAAATGAGGGGATGTTTAACCTTATGAAAACATGTGGTCTTCAGATATTTGAAGGACTGTTCTGGATGGAGTGACTATCTCATTATCATTAAAATCAGGACACTTTTGGGGGTAAAAGATGATATTAATGGTGCTGGAACAACAAGTGCAAACCAGGATTTTCCTGGACAAACAGGAGTGCGTGGATTCCCTGGGGAAGAGGTTGTGAAGGGTAAGACTTGTTTATTAATACCACCACAGGATAAAACTAGAAGGAAATGAGTACAAGTTTCAGAGAAACACATTTGGTTCACAATTGGAAATACCTATCAAAAATTAGGATTGGCCAAAAGTGGTCTCTTTTAGATCTTAAGAGTTTCTTGTCATTAACAAAAAAAAAAAAAAAAAAACCAAATGTGTTGCTGTCGAGTCTATTCCGACTCATAGCGACCCTATAGGACAGAGTAGAACTGCCCCATAGGGTTTCCAAGGAGCAGCTGGTGGATTCGAACTGCCAACCTTTTGGTTAGCAGCCAAGCTCTTAACTACTGCGCCACCAGGGCTCCCTTGTCATTATGGGTTCTCAAATAAAGGCTGAAGGACCACTGATGGTGGTGTTATAGAGGGAATTCAAGCATTGGATGAATTTTTGCATTAGATGACTTTTTAAGAGTTCTTCTAGCCCTCAGATTCATTTACAAATAATTTTCATATAGCAATAGTAGGGCAGATAGAAATTAGTGTAAACCATGGTGGGATGATGAAGAGGGAGTGCTGGCGTGTTCATATGAGTTTGTGCATGTGTGGGGGCAACCCTACATGTCTCTGTGTGTGTGTGCAGTATGAATATGTGGAGTGTGTATATGTTTGTGTGTGTATAAGGATGGTTTATATATAAATAATTTGCAGTTGAGAGAGAAATCTGGATTGGTAGTTTGGTATTTAGATACCCTAGGGCCCAGAGAGTTTCTGAGGAAGATTATTGTCTTATAACTTACCTATTAAAAGGATAAAGGGATCTGTAGTCTAGTTCACAGTAATGTACCAAGGTCAATTTTCTGGTTTTGATATTATACTACAGCTCTATAAAATGTCATCATTGGGGGAAGCTGTGTGAAGGGTACACGGGACTCTGTAAATATTCTTACAACTTCCTGTGAGTCTACAGTTATTTCAAAATAAAAGCAAAACAAACGAACAAAAAGGACTAGGGGCAACACTAGCTTGAACACTAGAGTATTAATACCAACATTTGATCCCCTCTGGCCAGTTAGCTCTTCTGGTTTGTTGTGGCCAGTGAGCCAGTGTATCTGTGTGTGTGTGTGTGTGTGTGTGTGTGTGTGTGTAGTGTTCATAGGAAGAATGTTAAAGATGCTATGACTGTATTGCCCAAATTCATTATTGCTCCTTGAAAAACAGCTTAAATAGGATGCTTTCCTAACATAAGATGTCAAGTCATTGTTATAAGAGATGCCCCATACTTTATAAACCTATCACAATTTATCAGGTCAAATGCCTTGGCATTTTGTAATTAAGATAGCATCCCGACTTTATCTGATGCTTTACGGGCAGAATTCTTAGGTTGATCAGGCATTGCAAAAATGCAGGATTTTCTATTTTGCAGCTAAAATATGATTGAGTAAATTTGTAGAAATTGTTCAAATTAAGTGAATAAAGAAAGATTGGTGCTTTTTTTCCCCCCAGATGTCCAAGTAATATCTTCTATGATGCTATATGGAAAAAACTGTTCTCATTGGGACATAGAAGCATCAATATTTGGGTATCTGCTCCTTGAGGGAACATTGGGTTTAACTGGATTTATAAATGTTTGTCCTTTTTATAAACAGTGTTGCAAAAATATTACCTAGTATCTTTAGTGATACAAAATCACAGTATGTTAGACTTTCGCTTCTGGAAAAATGTAGTAGACTTACTTTACCCTATTCCTTTCACTAAGTACAGCTAAAAAACTCT